CAGGTCGTCCCTGCTCCCCAAGTCCGTCCCTGCACTACGAGGGTTCTTTTGTGACCAGGCAATCCCTCCCCTTCCAGTGCCTTGGTGACTATGTGGCCACCTCACATTTAGCAGAAACCACCTCAGTGTTCAGGTGTCTTTCTCTGAGAGTGTCTCTTCCACCCAAGAAGGGTTGGAGCTGCCTAACTAGAGCCAGATCTGTTCTCTTGGCCTTGCCCACAACACCCAGGACAGGTGCAGGAGACCAGAAGTACCTGGAGCTTAGGGCTGTTGTGACCATGGCTGGGAGTACACCAAGGCCTCCCTGCCTCCTGGGTGCCCATGGAGCTGACTCTCCTGTTTCCAGCCTCTTGGCTGTCCCCGGAGATATACTGAGTGACAGCTTGAGAGTTTGGTGTTGTCGCATAAGCGGGGAGGCAGTGAGAAGTCACCCGCCCACAGTGTCCCTCCGTTCCTGTTGGCAACTCCCCAGTCTCTCCATCTGTGGCCCCTGTGGGCCCTGAGGTGCCAAGAAGCTGGCAGGCACAGGGATGGGAGGGGTTCTGTGATGTGAGCAGATGGCTGTGTAGCCTGCATGTCCACTAGGATGACTGGTCAGGGCTGTGGATGTGAGCTTTGGGTAGTAATCACCTTTCTGGGATTTGTCTGGAACCCCTTATCCAGGGGAGGTCATAAAGACCAAACTGTGGTGATCTTTTCTTTAATGATGTCCTAACAGCAAAGCCTTCCAACTGCACAGCACCCTTTAAGCCCCAGCATTCTGTAACGTGGGCAGCGCAGGTGGGGGTGGGGGCCCTGCATTGTACTGACAAAAAGGGGATGTAATGGGGTTACGTAATTTGCATGAAAATCACAGCCCCTGAAGTAGTGGGTGAGATTCAAATGACTTGGAGCTAAAAGCTTGGATTCAGTACTTAATAATAACTTGCTGTGACAATCTCAGAAAGAATCCAAATGTCAGAGCCAAATTAACCAGCAAAAAGACAGATGGAAGTGTTTCTTCCTTGCCTTAGCTCACAGTCTTGAAACACAGCCCCATGGTGTTCACCTGCCTGGAGCATCTCAGTTGGTGGCCGAAGAGGGTAGGTAGGTGGGTAGCAGGTGGCTGAGGACTGGGCCTGGTCAGGTGTAAGACAGTGGTGGGGCTACACACTGAGGCTGCTCTGGTCCCTCCCAGATCTGGCAGGGGATTGACATCGAGACCAAGATGCACGTCCGCTTCCTTAACATGGAGACCATGGCCCTCTGCCACTGACGCGCCTGCCACCTCTGCGGAGACACTACGCTTAGCCATGGGGCAGCTGCAACACGGACTGCAACAACTGAGGCCTGGAGGGGACAGCCTTTTGCTACAGCTCCTGTAAATAGTCAACACTTACCCACTCATCTCATGTCTTGAGGGTATGGTACATGGGACTTCATTGTTTTTATCTCTAATAAAAAAGTTTGTTACTAAAACTGGCTTCTTTCAGTTCCTCATATCCATTAAAGTGTCCTGGTCATTTGGTGGCATGAGACTGAATATGAGGAACAGGCAATGGCTGTGTAATATTTAAAGGCTGGTTTGCAGGAAGGATTTCTTACTTTTTATTTTGGGTGAAGTGTGTAAGTACATGGAAACTGCCCACCTTCTCAGTCCTGGGTGGTAAAGGAAGGAGAAGAGAAGCAGCTTCTGCTCCGAGGCTTCAGAGGTAGTAGCCAGGATGGGGGTAGGGGACATCAGAGGTGTCATGACCGTATGTTAGATTGGAAAAAGTGTTTGGAGCCCTCAGCTGTGCCCGTCACGGGTCTTTGCCTGGGCATACTCTGTTCTGTGGGGGCAGAGATTCAAGGCCTGGCCAGCTGACTCGGGACCCCCAGCTCCTCACAGGGGATCTGCCTGCTGGGGCTGTCCCTGGCTCTTTCTGGCAGGCAGGGACCAGCTGCAGGGCCCAGGACTCTTATGGACCCAACGAGAGCAGCAGCAGTGGAGGCCAAGGAGAAACCTGCCCCAGGTAAGCCTGACAGCGTCAGTTGTCACCTTCTGATTTGGGGACCGGCTATAGAGGGGCTCAAAAAAAGGTGGTTCGTCTTTGTCAGAGGTGGAATGACCCAGGAGTTATCTGAGGGCCAGCTCAGGTGGAACATGACTGAGGCCTGGGTGATGCTCGGACAACCACTGACTGCTTTCTCTGGCTCCTTTCTGTGGGTGGCTAGCTCTGGGAAGGTGTGGTGTTGACAGCACCAGGCACCGTGTCCCCATCACCATGCATGGCTCGCTCCGGGAAGGTGTGGTGTTGACAGCACCAGGCACCGTGTCCCCATTGCCATGCATGGCTCGCTCTGGGAAGGTGTGGTGTTGACAGCACCAGGCACCATGTCCCCATCACTGTGGGGACAGCTGGTTGCTGTTTATTTTCCAGGCCTCTTCCTGGTGGCTCCATTCACTGTTTGCTCGGTTCCCTTTATCGACACTCACTGGGAGGCGCCTTTCTCACCTTCCAAGAAGTTCTCTTGATAACTGGCAACTACTCCTATTTACATTCTAGAGTTTTCCATTCATGGTTTTAATATTAAGTGAGCTTTATGTTATCTACTCATGCCCACACCTTTCGGTCCAGAATTCAGAAAGTACCAAAAAGCAGGCCATGGGGCCTGCACCCCACGTGGCCCCCCAGGCTCCCTTCTTGGAGGCACGAAAGCCCCTTTCTCAGCTGTCCTTCGGGCCCCATCTCCCACACACAGGCAAAAGTGTGCATGTGCGTTCTTAGTTACCTCCATTTTCATAAATGGTAGAAGCTGAGGCTTCAGCGTCTGCTTTGTAAGTTCTAGATGGAAACTTGGGGATGAGAGGGCATGAGCCAGGGTTCTCTCTGCTCTCCCATTCGCCCACCCATCTGACCCTCCTTGTTGAGAGGTACAGGGAGCTGTTCTGGTGCCCATGACATGCATTGTCACCCTGACACTGCTCCAGAGACAGCCACTGTGCTGAGGGCTACAAGGGTGTTGAGCCCAGAGCGAGGCTGGGCACAGAGTCAGCAGCTCCATGCTGAGCCTGTCTGGGCTCTGGGGCAGTGGCCTCCTCTTTCAGCCCTGGAGCAGGGCTGCCTGGCCCCCACCTGTGGGTGGCCGTCACAGCCAGGGCGATGGCAGACACCATTCACACTCCTGCCCTGACTCAGGTGCCGGAGATAATTCTGGGTACCACACGGATGAGTATTACTTCAGTGACAGCGTCCTTATTTTAACACATGTAAGAAGAAATGCAGCTTCACAGCACATGGGAGGCTGTGGCTTATTGCTTAGGATGAGATGGAGGCTGGCATTTAAGTTTTAAAAACAAGGTAGTGCAGTGAGTTTGAGGCTGTGAGGACAGCTGCACATAGGGCAGTGCACAGTGTGGGGAGCGAGCACAGCATGGGTTAGGTCACAACCTCTGGGGCAGATGCAAACCTGCGAATGTGGGCTCTGGCACACGTCACTGTCACCCTGAGCAGCTGGCTGCCTGGGTCGGGTCTCCTCTCCTGCAGCTCCACTGTCCCTATACACAGGCTGATGGCTGGAGGAGAGGCTCAGTCTCTGTGGATAAGTGAACTCTGTGGTCTAAAGTCAAGAGCTCTGCTTCCAGACTAGGACTCCATTCAGCATTCAGCACAGTGGGGCAAGGGTGCAGCCCTGGAGACAGCACTATGTAGTGGGAGAGGTGAAGCTCTGGAAACTTCCATGTAGAGCCAGGCACAAATGGGACATGATCTCCATCACCTCCCCCTGATGCCCCTTGGGGTCCTCTTGGGGTTCCAGCCACCTACAGAAAGAATCTGGAAAGTGACTAGCACAGCCCAATGGGGGATCAGTTGTCCTATTTAGCTCTTGTACAGGAGGACCCACGCCCACCTCCTGGCCTCCCCACACACCCTGTCCTGCTGGTGTGGATGGGACCCTCTGCAGCACTGCAGGCGCAGGCATCACCACCCTAGGCCTGGGTTTTCTGGGACTTTCCCAATTTGCTCCGATTTTGTTCTTTTCCACAAAGGCCGTTCATTAGCATAAAACGTTTTTATAAATAATAAATCACCTTCCATCGGCCACTGTGCCCTGAGTCTTAGTTGGGAGTTGTGGCCACATGTCAAAGGCCACCAAGGGCCTGCCTGGTGTCTTTGAAGTTTTGGACCACAACGTATCTAAGCAACTAATTAAATGAGGCCAATTCAGCGAACACCCAGGCCAGGCCACATGGAAGAAAGCTTGTGCGTGTACTCACTGAGGGTGCCCTCTAATTGGCAAGGTTACAGCTCTTCTCCACCACAGCATGGGCAGCAGGATTCACTGGGCACTCCCCTGCTGAGCTCCCACATGCCGTGTTATTGGGGAATGAGTCAGGGTTGGCTGCTTGTGGGTACAAACCTGCTCCCTAAGGCACAGCCTAATTCCCCAGTGGCTTGTGGTCTGCTGGCCCTGAATTGTGAAGACCAAAGGTCCCCGCTCCAGGCACAGATCTCAGGACGGCCCCACCATCTGGGCAGTGTGGTCTGTGTCACAGGATGGAGGCAGGTGGCTTGGAAATGACTTCTGTTACCTGCTGGACTGCTGGGCTGCTGCTGTTTACCCAGGAGGGGATTTCTGGCTGCAGAGACCCTGCCCCTCTTTTGTCCCTGGGTAAGGATGTAACTGAATGTAATAGGGGATACCTCAATTGTAGCAGCCCAAAAAGGGTGACGTGTGTGTCCTGAAATTTGGTCTAAAACAAACAATTGGTAAATCAAACAAGAACACGGGTTAACAGTCCTCCTATCAGAAATGACACTAGGAACTACTGGGAACTGGGAAGAAATCATACTAACTCAAATATCTGAAGGGAGCTGATAAGTTGGCATTTGAGGGTCATAGGCCATGGGTGGGGGAAGCTGAGCTGGGACGGTGTCCTCAGCCTGCTAGATAACCAGAGGAGGTCACCTCCTCCCTCTCTGAAGTCTCCAGCCATCCACCTGCCAGGAATCAAGTTAAGCAGGCGCTAGTCCTGTGCTGCCACATTACCAAGGGGAAAAGTGGGCTTTTGGATGCTGAAAGAATATAGCGATTTGACACAAACACACTAATTTGGTAGGTTTACAAAAGGGCTGTGTAATGGAAATCTAATATGAGCAGCTCAGGGGACACATTCTGCAGCCACGTTAAACATGAATTATGGATGAGGGGACAGAGTAAGATGACAGCAGCTTCCAATTCTGGCCAAGCAGCCTCTTAGGGAACGAATCATTGCTACACTTTAACAAAACAATTCTATTATTTTCTGGGCCAAGGGGCTGGGAAGTTCTTTTTGTGGTTTGCTAATGCCAGACAGGTCATCTGTGGATCTGATCCTTGTCACTGAGCAGTTGAACCTGTCCCCACCTGCCTGCAGTTAACAAGGCTCAATATAAATTCTGCCGTGCTGCAGACGGCACCGTGTGACTTAAGTAGGCTGATGGAGAGTTAAAAATACAAGTTGCTTTGCCCAGGGTTTGTACACACCAGCCTTGTAGGCTGTCCTCCCACACAGAGACCTTGGGAAAGCCAGGAAGAGCTGAGTGGGAGAGGCCGGGAGTATAACCCAACTCGCCAGGGAGTCAGCACTGCCTTTGTCACTGGGGTCTTCCAGAATGTTAACAGGTGCCAGCAGGGGGGTCTCACTATGGTGCTCAGTGGATGAACCTGGCTCCAGGGGAACTCAAAACTCTGACAAGGACACATCGGCCACTCATTCTTCTAATGTGCTGTTGTCAGCACAACAAAGCAAGGGGCTCAGCTCTGGTCTTAAAGGGGATGTGCCAATACCCCAAGAGTGGCTATGATGGGGCTGCGGCAAGCTCCAGGGATGTGATGAGGGGCAGCCTGCTGCCACACCATTTTAGAGAATCACAAGGCAGGATTTGTCCTAGCACTGGGCAAGGGAAGAAAGACATGGCATGATGGGCTCAGCTGGGGGCAGGCAGGAGGTGGGAGCTTCCCTCCCTTTCTAGGAAAAGAAAAGGCCCCCAGTGCAGAGAGTCGAATGGCTGCTTCTGGAAGCCCACATTCAGCATCAGAGGCCAAGAGCCGGCCGGGGCCCACATGGCACCGGCCACAGCCCAGCAAGAGGGAATGTGCTGCTGAACATCAGAGGCAGCCCCCATCCAAGTCGCCGCAGGCCCCTGCAGCAGTAGCCAGGTAACCATCTGGCCTGGCTGCGTGGGTGAGGCAGGCAGGCCTGTGTAGCTCACAGTGTCGCGGCTGGCCGGCCAGCCACACACTCACTGCTGCCACAGCTGCTGCTCAGAGTGAAGACTCTGGTCAGGAACACGAAGTAGGAGACAGCCCCATCCGAGCCACCATAGTGCATAACAGCAGCCACTAGATAGTTGTCCCAAGAAGTCTACACTCTCCCAGTGGAGGCTGTTTGGTCAGAACTATGAGCAAGGTTGGCTTGCCATCTGAAG